CTTGCAATGCCAGCAGTTGGGAGGTGGAGGTAAGAGATCAACCTGGGGACAGAGCAAAGACCTTGTATCAAAAGGTAAAAAGAAAAATTAATGTTTTCCACACCAGTGAAAAAAATAGCTTGTTTTTATTTTAAGACTGTTGCAGAGACTGTGGATTTAGCTCAGTGATAGAGCACTTGCCTAGTGTGTGAACCCCTGATTTGATTTGATCCCTGTACTGTTTTTTAAAAAAAACAACAGTGGCCGGGTGTGGTGGCGCATGCCTTTAATCCCAGCACTCGAGAGGCAGAAGCAGGCGGATCTCTGAGATCCTGGTCTCCATAGCGAATCCAGGCCAGCTGGGGCTACATGGAGACCCTGTCTCAAAAAGACCAAAAAGAAAAAAATAAATAAATAAAAATAAAACCAATAGCATATTCAGCCTCTGTACTGAGTGAGACATTGTGCTATGATTGCATTTGCTAGTATTTTCAAGTAATCTTTTGGGACAGTCCTAATCACTTACCATTCACTGACAATAAAATTTGTATTTTCAAAGAATATTATAAATTCTTTAATCCAAAGATCAGAAAAAAAAAATTTGTAGTTCTCTGTCCACTCTGACATAATTGTTAGGAAGAGTCATTTGTTTATGGCCACCTAAAAGTGTGACAGAAATAGTCATAAAAACGCCCCAGTGTCTTGTAATAACATTAGAAAGGTTTCCAGTAACAACAGCAGGGCAGAATTTAGTATTCTATAGCTAGTAAATTTTATGAGACTTTGTAAGTTCCCAAGCAAACCTCATAGAAAACACAAGATAGTCAAAAATCTTTTGTGTTCTATACAGTCTGTAGAATGATCGGCCACAGCTGTGCTTTGGTTTTGAATGAGTGCAAGTAGCAGATAAATAGTAAACATCATCAAATTGATGTTTACAGCATCTAGCAGAAATCAACTACGGAAACCCTGCTAAAACTATAATGCTGGAATTACTGATTGAAGATTTTTTGTGATTTTTTTTAAAAAATTGTTTTGAAACAGGTCTCCTTGTAGCCCCAGCTGGCATGTAACTTGCTGTGTAGACCAGGCTGGCCTTGAACTCACAGCTGCCTGCTTCTGCCTCCCAAATGCTGGGATTAAAGGCATGTGCCACCTCGCCCAGCCTGATTGAGGATCCATGCACCTCTGAGGAGGGGGTACAGGGTAAATAGAAGGGAATGATAGAACAGACACCAAAGGAGAGACTATCTGTAAGATTTGAGTGTTTTATTTTAGAGGAGGTTATAGGAATAGCATCAAAGAGTAAAGACAGGTTTTAATAGGACTGTTAAAATTTTCTTAAAAGTTTAAATCATTTTTGAGTTTTGGTCACAAATATGTTACATACACAGGAAGATCATATTGGCTATTTACACAGCTAAGATAGTTGAGTGTGGCGGCATATACTTTAATCCCAGCATGTGGGAGGCAGAGACAGGCAGATCTGAGATTGAGGCCATCCTGGTCTACATACTGAGTTCTAGGTCAGCTAGGGCTACAGGGGGACTCTTTCTCAAAAGACAGGTTAAGATAGTCCAAGATAATGTTGACTTTGGACCTGTAACATTTCAACTTTTCACACTTATTTGAAGTTTTGACGTACAAGTATAACTCACTGATGTTTTAGCATAGATGTAGTATAGAAGTATTATATTTAATGTTAAAATAATGAAAACATGGTTGGGGATTTAGCTCAGTGGTAGAGCACTTGCTTAGCAAGTGCAAGGACCTGGGTTCGGTGCTCAGCTCCCCCCCAAAAAAACATGCTTTAAAGAAGCAAAGACAATAGGTAAAGGAGACATGTACTTTTGGGGGGGGGGGCGGAGACAGGGTCTCCCTGTAGCCTCAGCAGGTCTGGAGGTCCCTACGTAGACCAGGCTGTCCTTGAACTCACAGAGATCCACCTGCCTCTGCCTCCCCAGTGCTGGGGTTAAATGTCTGGCTAGAAACACGTACTCTTATTTAACTTTGAAGACTTTAAAGATAGATAACCCCAAAATAGTTTAAGGTAGGGGGTGTGAGCAAACAGTTATACCACAAGGACCTAATATTAAACCTGTCTTAAAGTCCTTATCAGATCAAGCATAGTCATTTCATCACTGAGAAATAACCCACTAAAAATTTAAACATCTTGTAAATATAGTAGGACTTTAAAAATATAAAAGTATAAGTGTTTTCCTTTAGGCTGGAGGGAGTCATAATTAGTCACAATTGTTTAGTTAATTATTAATCTAGACAACTGAAGATCATAGGCCCAATAAAATTTTGTACGCCAGGCCAAATTTGTAAATTTAAAATTTTGCCCAGTAAGATAAGATCTATGATCACTGTATAATTTACGCAGTAGGAAAACCTATTTGGAAGAATATAATCATAGGTTTGAAATATCTCATTTAGTAAGAGATAAAATGCTTATTTTTGTAAGCCTGCTTTTTTTTTTTAATATTTTTTATTTTTTTATGTATATGCATGTATTGCTTGCATGTAGGTAAGTGCACCCGTGTCATGCAATGCCCTCAGAGGATAGAGGAGGCTGTCAGATCCCCTGGAACTGGAGTTATGAACAGTTGTTAGCTGCCATGTAGGTGCTGGGATTCGAACTGGGGTCTCTGCTGAGCTCTCTCGAGCCCCGTAAGCCTGCTTTTGTAAACACAAAGATTTGATACACATTTTTATATTTTTTAATTTGTTGTTGATGGGTTTTTGTTTTGTTTTTTTTCCAGTCTTTATGAGACAGGGTCTCCCTCTAGCCCCAGCTGGCCTGGAACTCACTATGTAGACCAGGCTGGCCTTGAGATCCGCCTGCCTCTGCCTCCTGAGTGCTGGGATTAACACCACACCCGGCTTTGATACACATTTTTAGGAGAACAATACTTAAGAAAACTTCGTTGTAATAGAGAATGGGCATCAGAATCATCTGGTTATAACAGATTTTTGATCTTAGTAGTTATAATTACTTAAATTTGAACTATGTTATAATCATCCTTTACAACTTTTTATATATATATATATAT